GCGGGTTTAGCAGCCAACACCCTTTTTATTAAACTGTTTTTGTGGTGATTGGCCCCTGGACCGGAGTGTGCGGTGCCTCTGAGGGCACAGCTGTGGGCTGCGAGGCTGTGTGCTCTCATCACCAGGACGAGGACACTGTGGTGGATGGTGGCACAGGGCCAGGACACTCTCTTTGAGGGTGCGCGGCAGGTAATTTGGTGGTTCCATGCAAGAGGCAACGTGGAGGCACATATTTTCATCAGCAAAATTCCTCATGCTGAACGTGCATTTATGCCAAAGGCCATGGCATACCCAAAACAGAAATTAAAGAGGAACAAAGATGCTTTGGTGCCTACTCCACTTTTTATGCACTGAAATTATATCAGTATCAGGAATGAAACAGCCAGGAGGCAGAAGGCAAGGTTGAAGTCTAAAGACTGCCAGGGGAGAGAGAAAACCTTGAGTGTTATGAGAGGTCAAACGTCAGCCCTTTGTGTTTTTTTCCACTGCTGGAGAATGACAAGGTCAGACAAGGGGATCATGCCAGGCACAACACAAACTTCACAGTTAATATTTCCTCTTACTTCTTCTCTGCTCATGTCTTCCCTCATGTCTCCTCATCAGTTCCCAGCTTTCTGCTCATTCCCCAGGGATTGTTCCAGCCTCTAGGATTGAAAGCCCAAAATGGGCCCATGAGCACGTGAGTAGAAGTTGGCCATTTTCAGGTTTAGGCTGTAAATCCCAGCTCTTGTCTCAAAAGGCAGGCCTCCCTGCAGGCTCTGTAGGAGCAAGAGAGCAAAAAATCTCCAGACTGTTTTTCCGGGTGGAGCTCAGCAAGCTTTTAACTGGGTTTGATGCATTGCTGGTGATAGCCAGACCTGCTCACCCTTGGCTCCTGAGCTTCTCTAGTTTGGTGCAACAAATTCATTCTTTGTGAAAGATCCCAGTTTTGGAAGCAATATAAAACAGTCGTTAGGACTTTCTCCGAGTTCTTATAATTTTGTGGATGAAATAACGCGAGACTGACTTCATTTAACTTGAAAGAGGAACCTGAGGGGTTGTGTTTGAAGGAGCAGTCTTAAGCATATATGTGATTCATCCTCATTAACCTCAACATTATGTTGCAAACCAACAGCAAGAGCCTCCAATCCTGCATACTAATTTCTTCTTCTTATCAATCTTTAATTAGACAATCTATTGACAGATTGACTTTGACTGATGCTCCCTGAAGTGAATTCTTCTTTTACTATTCAGATACAGATCAGGGGTTGGTATACCTTTGCAAATACTGAGCTGCGTGCTCTAAATTAAGCACAGTGTCTTGCAGAGACCCACGATGGGGCTGGTGGTGGTGGTGGCACCACCAGATGCCTTATGGCAATCAGTGCTTTGAGAACAGCTTTCCGGTCCCACAAGCTGCTTGGCTGACGTCAGTTTGGGTTAGAGAGCAATGCTTTATCCTTTAAACATATTTTTCTCTCTGTTAAAAGGCACAGGATAAAGAGGTTGCAAATTAATCTCAGTGAGTCTTAATCCACCCAGACTGTCAGCATTCTTATTTTCTTTGGATTGGAGGTCCAAAAATCTTCTGCTCTTTGGATCACTGTGGGCACCTTTTACCATGTGCAGGTATTTGCAGGCAGAATCATGCACAAGTCTACAGACGAACAACTATTTTACCTGCGGGTGAGCACATGTAATAGGTGGGGCTAGCATGCTGTTAGGCTGAGCATGGATATGCTCGCCACACTCGATGCAGGCACTGATGAGTGGCTCTGCTGGCTGGGCAATCATCAGTGAGGTGAGGAGATGCTGGTGTCCCTTCCTTGGAAACCTTTGATCTCCCTGAGTTGCTGTTTCTGATTGCCCACCTCTTTAGTCAGGTTTTCATGCTGAAGTTTTTCTCCTGAGTCCTATAGCTGCCGACAAGATAGACATAGCTCAGTTCTGGTCACTGCGCAACCCCAAAAGGGACCTCCTGTGGTCCCAGGTCATCATCTTCTTGGCGTCAGTTTCATCTATTCACATTGCAATACTCTTCCATTCCCACCACCAGAATAAAAGGTGGAGCTCTCAGACCTTCGCTTGCACCACTCAGCAAGGTGAAAGGCATATAGAGAGGACCCATCTATGCCTCGTGCTGGGCTACTCTGCTGCTACAAGCTGACAGATTAATGGCTTTGGCAATTACAGGGCCTATCTCTGAGTAGTCCCGTTGGTAGGGTAGAATCAAGAAAACAAGATGCTCTTCTACCATTTTTGGTGGGCTCTGGAAACATGCCTCAGCACTTCTTTTGGCTAGTGACATTGTTTAATGTTCCCTGTTTCTACGTAATTATTAAATATCATTTAGCTGGTTCTTCTGTTTCTGAAGCTTCTTTCTCCATTTTCTGTTACCAAATTTGTGGCAAATTTGCACATGCTCTTGGATCCCGTTCTGTGCACATGCCCACACACATCCTCAAAGAAAGAGAAATGCCTTCTGAAGCTACTCCTCTGCAGATGCTGTGAGGCTCAGCAGCCGGGTAGCTCCTGTCCACGTCAGCCACACTGGATGTGTGCAGGCTGCTTTCAGGCAATCAGCCGTGTCAACTGTCCTCAGAGTCTAAAACTAAGTCACTGTACAATGAATTCCTACCCTGTTTAATACTACACAAATACAGGCCAAAAAAATATGATATTGGTTGCAAAGAGCCATTAATGAGTTAACCCCTCCAGGCTGAACAGAGTTTCTGGAATTCACTCTTCCTGTCTTGATGGGTTTTTTTGTTTAAACACTAAGCAGATAAATGGGATGAGCAAGAAAATCTTGGCAAGAAACAGTGTGACTGGAGAGGGATAGCTAGGTGGATTTATGAGGTGAGAAAGGGCTCAACCCCTCTGAGGTCCTCTTGCTCATAGTATCAGCAGAAAATCATCAGGTTTTGAAATTTACTTGGCACAGTGAGGAGGCTCTGGTGAGTACCGTTTCCGACTACTTTGACCATTGCCAGCTGTGCCCAGATCAGAGCCCCCCCCTAGACCAGATGTGGCCTCTTTCCATTTCATCCCCTGTCTCCTGAACTCTCTCATTCCTGAGGACCCCTGGCTCTCTCCATTCACATGCCACTGGGTGCTCCTGCTCTGCTGGCTTCAGCCAGAGCTGCAGGATGCTGTCAAGCACATCGTGCTGGGTAGGAGGTCCCGTATCGGGCTGCAGCTGGCATGGTTTGGGCTTAAATTGCACGTTGCAGCTTTGCTCTTCCCTCCCTGGTGACAACCACACCATTGCAGCAGCAGGACATGGATGGTGACACTCTGCAGAGCACCCTGTCCAGGGCCAGTGGCTCCTTGGCTGCTTGTGGCCACATGCAGTTTGGTTTCCCTCTCAGTGGATCCACCCATTACTGTTGGAAGGAGAGGAAGGAGGGGGAAGAAAGTGGGAACAGAGTATGGTGTTTGCAAAACGAACCTTTACAGGAGCAACCCATGAAAGCAGCATCCCATAAAACACATGGGCTTCTCAGCTCACAGGTACTGCCAGCCTGAACTTTCATTCTGTACCTTTGAATGGTTAATCAGACGGAGACCAGTCAGACCACATGGCAATGTACCTAGCACAAAAACTTCTTCCTCCCTGGGAAATACCTCCAACTGGGAGTATACCTCCATCTTTTCACCACCGTCATCAGCTTGGCTCTTGTGGCCTTAATGCAGGAGGGCCAAGAAGAGGTTCCAAACTGATGGACCCTCGCTCTGACCCCACAGCTGTCCCTCTCACAATGTGCCCCACTCCTGGGGCTGAAGCGTCCCAAGGAGATGGGACAGTGGAGCAAGAGGGCAGAGGGAGTCTGGCAACACCCCTCCCATCCATCCCCCACCAAACCCACTGCCCCTGTGCTGCTTGCTACGTCAGCAAAGCCACTTTGTCCCCGTGCTTATATGGGACAGAGGTCACACCAGACATTTCTGGGCTATCTACCTACAGCATGAGCTCAGATCACGTCTTCACACCTCTTGTCCTGTCTCTGCGTGGGCACTCAGTGTGTAGATTTGGGGGGATGGGCAGGCAGTTTGGGAATATCTCACCAAAATCACGAGTGCTTTGGGGGGGAGGGCCTTGCCCCAAGTCCCATGAAATTCTCTTTTCAACCCCTGCATTTTGTTCAGAGTACTCTTTCCATGCATCTTAAACTTAGATAGACTTCACATGTGAGCATCACACATCTCTTGGGGGGATGGATGGATGGATGGATGGATGGATGGATGGATGGATGGATGGATGGGTGGATGGATGGATGGATGGATGGATGGATGGATGGATGGATGGATGGATGGATGGATGGATGGATGGATGGATGGATGGATGGATGGATGGGGGGATGGATGGATGGATGGATGGACAGATGGATGGACAGACAAGTGGATGTATAGATATAATAGGTAAGTAGGTAAATTGATGGATAGGTAGACAGACATAGAATAAATCGGTAGGTAGAGGGATAGATAGATGGATAGAAAGGATAGACAAGTAGGTAGATAGATATTTTTCAAACGTACACTCTAAGAACAAAATGCTATTCTTAGATAACAGTGGGTGATGTTAAATTCAACTTCCTAGGAAACACAGCTGGGTTTTCGCCATAAGATACACCCCAGGAGGTGATGTGGGTGGGTTATTTCCCAGGAAAGACCTAGCCTAACGCCAATGAGCAGATGTTTCTCTTTCACCACCTCTTGAGTGTGTGGTGTGCATCAGCATCTCTGGATTCATCCTACTGGGAGGAACATTTCTCTCCTGCAGTCAGTGCTCACCCCCTCCAGCCTTTCCAGGGTCACAGACAAGGTCACTTTCTGCCCTTCCTTCACCTGAACCTACAACCCAAAACACACACTCAATTTCTGTAGTAAAATTTTGTGCTTGCAATTCCCTGAGCCAGCAAAACCTAAAAACGAAACAAACCAGGGTGTCCTGCACACCTTGCCGTGGCAATGGGGTGCAAACACAACCCCAGTGATGCCCACCAAGCAAAGGGTCGGAGTTTGGCTGTGATACAAGAGTTTATTGCAATTTCTAGTCACAGAGGGCAGGCAGAAATTACACCGTTACGTTTAAGGCATTAAATCAGTGTTGAATAGGGTGATAGGAGACATTTTTAAGAAGTGAAGAGCAGAGTGGCAGCCCTCACACAAAACCCATGCCCCTAGGGGTGTGGGAATGGGTGGCTCCTCCATGCCGGGGCAGCGCGTGGGACTGTTCATGGATTTTGGTCCATTAGAGCAATGATCTGCCTGTACATACGCTGAGGGGCGTCCAGACCCCAGTGGTGGTCGAAGTGGTTCCAGTCGGGGAAGTGCTCGTGATGAACAATGTTGGTGATGCGGGGGAGCAAACGTTGAGTCTCCAGAGGGGGATTCACCCAGTCCTGCCCACCGCTCCACAGTGCAGTTGGCACCGTCATGTCTTCTATCCGGTAAAAGGGGGGAGTAGCCTGGGAGAGGGGAAACACTCCAGAGACTCACGGGCTCTGACACTAATAGCACCAATGGGTGGGGTGTGCTGCCCCTGGCATCCCAGAGGACTCAGGCCATGCTGGACACTGGAGGAGGCTACCCCCATCCCGGTCCTAGCCAGCCTCATCCTCTGCTCCTTCTTCCACAAATGCCCATTTACCTGATGGTACTTCTCCTGGTTACTCTTCCCGTAGTCAAACTGCTTGAACTCCCCAGTTTTGGCAGTCTGGAAGGCAGAAGCAAAAGGTTAACCCCGTGCAGGTAATGCCCTGGATCAGCCCCATCAGAAAACAAAGGGCAGCAGCAATGTCCAGGTGAGGACTCTGGTGTCTGGGCTGGCTCTTGCTGGCATCCATCCCATGGGCCAGGGCAAAGAGGGAGCTCCAAAAGCACCTACATGGGGTCCTTACCTGGGATGGAGGTGGGCATCTGGGTGGCTCTGCCTTGCACAGCCAGAAGCAGTAGCTAACAGCTGTGGCTTTTGAGACACTTTGGTGTAACAACTTCAAAGTAACTTTTATTGTCTTTGCCTGATTCTACCTCCTTACCTGTCTCCTGGGTGAATGAAGCACCATTGTAAAATAGCGTATTCACAGGTTAAGAGAAAAAAGCATTGTTTACAGTCATTATAAAATCAGAATCTCTACCTGTCCCCAGTGGAGAAGAGTTTTTACTGATGTATAGTCTGGAAAATGAGCTAGGTATACATCCAGTCGGCTCTATGGGAAAAAGAAAGTAAGTCAGTTGGGAATGATGAAAATCTGTCTAGACAAAAACGTCATTCTGTCTTATAACTGAAATATAAACTTCATACTCTCCAGCAGCTTTATTCTGTTCATATCTAGCAGTAGCCTTTAAAGGTAAACTAGTTAACCACTGCTTTAAAATGCAAATACAACTGAACCAGTTAATTTTGTTGTTTGGTTTTTGTTTTGGTTTTTGTGTGTGTGTGTGTGTGTGTAAACTTCTTGTAGGTCAGCAGAAAATGAGGCAGGAGTTACCCTTCCTTTGCAGACAAGACCACAAGTGATTCTTTACTACTGAAGCCTCCATTAGGTTTAACACCCCAACACCACTGAAAATAATCTCCAAATAACTTCTGCCTTGAACAGTGCTTTTCACACCTTTTTTTTTTTTTTTTTTTTTTTTACTCATTTTTGTATCTCATTATCTATGTCCAGGTGCCTAGGAAAGCTGGAGATGGCTGTGACCTGGAGATGCTGATGCACCCACCACATTCAAGTTCTTCTTGTTGCACCCGCCAATAATGAAGATCACACTTTCACAGAATTGAGCTATTAGCGGGTTGCTGCATATCTCTGCAAGGATAGCTCTCTCCTTCCTCCCCACCAAAGTCAGCTGTTTTGTTCCAAATGTTGCCTGCAAGAGCACAAGGAAACAGGTCACGGTGGGTCCTGCAACACACATCCCCTCTCCACAAGAACCGCTTGTCTCCAGACAGTGCTGATGGGCTTTTGACACATTAGGGCTAGCCAGCCTGTTTGGGATTTTGGGCTCACTCATCTCCCCACATGTACCCCCAACACCTGCTGCAGGCATAGGCTCGGTGCTCGGTGGCAATGTGGGGGATGTGAGTTGCCAAAAGCTCCTGGGTTTTGGTAGTCAGAACACACAAACACCTCACATACCTTCAGCACCGCATCTGGTAAAAATGCTATCTTTAGCACGGGGCCTTTGACATGATGAAAGGTGTAGAGAGGAGCCAGTGCAAAGAAGACTTTGATTTTCTCAGCCACATGTGGCATGCTTGAAAACGCTATGAAACCTGAAAAGTGGTGAGAGATTACAACAGTAACCCCAACAGCAAGAACACTCATCCCAGACCTCCTGTTTGAGACACGGGGTCTGAACAAAATTAAATGCTCCTGGATGTGAGCACAGCCCAGGCTGGGCAAGACATGGCAAACCTCTCTCAATCAGAAGGACCAAGAAGGTAGGTGGGGAAAGTGGATCCATGGGCCAACACAGCCCCGTCCCTAACACTCTCCTGTCTGGGACAGACGTTGATGCCCCTCTCCCGTGGCATCCTGGCACCCCACTCCTGCCCACCACCTGCTCCTATTCCTCACTCACCCAGAGAGTTGCCCTGAGCGTGCCCAATGTAGAACAGTTTCTCCTGCCCAGTTTGCCTTAGGATGAATTCCACCATGGCAGGGAGGTCATACACAGCCATCTCATGGAAGCTGGGGAGCAAGGGGAGAAGTTGGAGGAAGTGTCCATCTCACAACCTCCCATGGACATCAGGAGATTGGCACTGGCAGCCCAGCATCACAACCCCATCCTTGGTGGCCTTCTCACCTGAAATCCCAAAACTCCTCTTGGTCGACAGAAAGGTTCAGGTGCCGGCGGGACCAGCTGTTGCCCCGGTTGTTTCCGATCCAGACATCGTACCCCTCGTCTGCAAGGATGAAGCCCAGGCTGTTGTTGGGTAGGTTGTCCACCCAGTCACCACCATCTAAACTGAACCCGTGCACTATCAACACAGGTGACTTGGATCCTGAAAGAGGAGAAATTGGGTACTTCACACAAGAAAACCCCTTCCCATATGAAAGTAAAATAGCCCTGTGCATCTCAGTATTATTTTCTGCAGGCTGCGCATTAAATATTCCCTTCTCCCATGATTTCCCTGGCTCTGCTGGTGCTTTCTTTATTTGAAGGACTTTTCCCACCCCTGGCCCTGAGCTGTCTGGAAATTTTGGACTAGGGTAAGGAGTTTGCTCCAAGGAAGGAGCCACTGGGGTTCACTGGTTCATGCTGCCCTGTCCTGAATGCAATGAAACACGATGCTGAGCTCTCTCATCCCCAAGGACAGCTGGAGGCAGCTGAGCAAAAGCTTCTCATCCCTCTTCCAGCTGCCAAAAGTGTGTCTGAAGGCACAGGCATTCCCATCAGTTTCCCCTTGCACGTTGACTCATCTCTGAGCAGGGTCACAGCTGCTTGACCCTCGGTGAAACTGAGCCAACCTGAGTGCCCAGCATCCCCCCTGCCATGGGGAATACGGTTGAGGCTGAGGAAGTAGCCGTCCTCTGTCAGCACGTCGTACTCCTCACTGGGATACCCGTGGAAATAGATCTTCTGGCTCTGCGGGGACAACAGTCCAAAGGGAGAGAGTGACCCACTGGTGTCCATCAACCCACACCTTGCCCCAGTGTCCTGGTTCGGGCTGGAATAGAGTTCCCGTTGGTCTGGCAGCGGGAGGAGCTGCAGCCCCCTGAGACCCCAGGGGCTCCCCAGGGCCCAGTGCCCTCACCTGTGTGCGGGGGCGGGGGGAGCACAGCTGGAGGGCTGGGCCCTGATTGGCCAATAGTCCATGTCACGTGACATCGTGCTCACCATATAAAGGCAGGAGAGGGGCGGGAGGGGCTCTCACTTCTGGGAGTGTGGCCGTGGGGCCTTGGTGTTGGGGCTCGCCGGCCGGGTGGTGAGCAGCTGTATTGTACATTACCCGCTGATCCTGCTGTCAGTGTATTGTTCTGTCACTGTTATTAAACTGTTTTTATCTCAACCCGCGAGTCTCCCTTTGCCCCTCCGATTCCCTCCCCGTTCCCAAGTGGCGGGAGGGTGGGTGAGAGGCTGCGGGGCTTTTAGCTGCTGACCAGGCTCAAACCACGACACCCAGTGACTCCCACCACCCACCCTCTCCAGTGTCACCTCTGCCTGTACACGCAAGAGCTGAAGGTCCATCTGCGTTAGGAGAAGACCAGGAGAGGCCAACCTCAAGCTGAGGGCATAAAGTGAGTGACACCCATGCAAATATAGGAAACTTGGTGCCCCAAGCCCAGGCTGACCCCAGGTGCAGACACCAGGGTGAGGGATGGGGAGGGCACGACTGGTCCTTCAGGGAGGGCTTTGGGCACACTGCTTAGAGAAGCCCAGGTCCCACAGTGAGTGGGTTTGATCCCTCGGCACTTACGATGTTCATGGACTGCTCGGGGTTGTGGTGGCTCACTCCGATGCGTGGGACGGCGTCACCCAGCCCCTGGGCCAGGGCCAGGGCCACCAGCAGCAGCCACATCTCACCTCTCTGCAGCGCCTGGGGGGTAAAGGGGGAGGTGTGAGCAGGGTGGTGGGTGCGCCGGAGGCACGAACAAACACACCGTGCAGCTCCGGCACCGCTGGCAGCACTGCCAGTGCCTGATGCCGCAGCATGCTTCAGGTGTTTTAAGCCCAAACCATGCCAGGTGTGGTACCGTACAGGACCCTCTGCCTGGCACTGGGCACGCAGCAGCATCCTGCAGCTCTGGTTGAAGCCAGCTGAGTAAGAGCACACATGGGTGGCAAGGGCTGGGGGGTCTCCAGGGGGTGAAATGGAAAGAGGCCACATCTGGTCTAGAGGGGCTCTGAGCTGGGCACAGCTGGGGCTGGCAGGGGCTCAGGGAAAGCCACATCTGCAGCTTATGTCCTGTCCTTTTGACCTTCCCCAAGATGACTCCTCCTCTAGACACTACCAGAGGCTACCCAGAGCTCTGGTTTGACTCCAGAGATGTTTTTATGGTCCCTGCCTTGAGTGTTGAAGCGTCTTGGAGCTGACACTCATCACCTGGCACAAGCGAGTCCCCTCTCCAGGCGGGAGTGGCTGCTCTGCGGAGATGTGACCAGCCTCTGAGAGCCCATTGTCCACGTGAGAGCCACATCCACGCCCTGTGGGTAGAGGGCCACCAGCTTAAGCTCTGTATTTCTAGAGGTGTCTTAATATGTCAGTATTATCTCACACCAAAATCCACCTCCTATTGCTTCCCAATCCCCTGTGCAGTTAGGAACTCATCCCAAGCATGTCTTGCTGACTCTTCCCACCTGGCCTTGGTCCATCTGCAACTTCAGTGTGGGAGAAGCAGTCTCCATCCATCTCTTCCCTGCGAAAAGCATCAGGAAGAATGCTTTCAGGGAAAGCAGCCTCCCCCAAGCAGGAGGGGTTGTGTCAGATCTCCGTTCTGCAGGAGCTCCCGTGCTCCATCCCTGCCTTGGATCGTTTATAGCTCGTCACCATGTGTTCCTGATGTGCTCTGTGTCCCCTGCACCCCAGCCCAAGGGGATCCAGACTTCAGGACAGGTCCAGCAAAGTCCATTTCCCTGGTGACCTTGTTGCAGGAGCTAGAAAAGACTCTGCCTACCAGAGGAGGTGTCTGGGCACATTTTCCCAGCATCCCTCCAGCATGGAGAGGTCTTCCTGATCTGCTCAGGAAAACGGGAACAACCACTCACTGCACAGCACCATGTGGGCAACAGAAAAAACTCACTATCACACATTAAAACAAAGTGTCAGCTCAAGTCTTGCTCAAGTTCACCACCAACATCTTGATGCTTACGTCTCCCCGTGCAGGTGAGGACATCCTGGGATTAAGCTGTTGTGATGATCAAAGGAAGGAGAGGTCAGATTTCCCCATGATCCTGTAGACAAACAGCATTGCTAAAACCAATCTCCCCTACTGACACTTGTCCTATCCGGCTGCTGAACACCAGTGGCCACAACCGCGGGCAGGATCCACTGGTACAAATCGCCATTTTAAGGTGCTTTTAGTCTGAAGCCCCTCCAAACTGCATGTGGAAGGCATGTAGGGAGGACATCATGAAGGAAGGAATTACGTTGGCCACCTTCTCACCAAGCTCAATTACACATAGACACTGGCAAAATGTTTCAAGCCACTCCCGGGGACATCAGAGACAGACCAAATTACTGAAATAGATACTTCATCAAGCAGTGCAGGTTACAAGGGACCAAGAAACCAAGCCTGCACAGGAATTAGGAGATGCCAGAGAGGCCCTCCCCTTGCCAGATATAACAATATGCTTCTCAATGTTGTTTTCCTGTTGCAAAACCCATCCTGAGTTTTCAAATCAATTGCATTTTCTTGATGAACATGTCACTTAGGAAACAGCTTCTTGCCCTTGGGTCTACACCTTGGCTTTCAAGCCTTGGCTGGACAAAACCAGGGCTGGCCTGAGCTAGCAATGGGGATGGTCCTACTCTGAGTGGGAAGTTGGACCAGAGGACTGCAGAAGTCTCTTCAAAAAGCTGTGGTTGGGCTGGTCCCAGCCAGAGAGGCCTTTCCTCATTCCCTGGGCAGAGAGGTCTCCATCCCTGATGAGGTCCACCTCCCCTACATCTGCAGCACATCACCGTATGCAAGTGGACCTTCCACTGCCCCATGATCAGCAACAGCCCACAGGTCTGTGGTTTCTGTGGCTCCTGCTTGGCTCACAGCCCTGCACATTTTGTGATGAGGATTTTCTCCACCCAATGCCCCCTCACCCAGCTCCTGAGCAGTGACACTAAGATTTCCCATACGTCTCAGAGCTCACCACTGTAGCTGAAAGCTCTGCTGCCCTTGCCAGTGTCATCCAGATGTTATGGTGGCACACGACAGTATCCATGACCTGTGACAAGCTGTGCCACAAAGCCCACAGATGTGAGTGAGCCCACTGACAAGCATTCAGCTATTTACAGAAGCAATGCATTCTGGAATTCCAAGAGATTAAAGCCTTTATGGCAAAGGAGGAAGGATTAGTCACTGCACATACCTGTGGCATTCAGCAAGCACTAATAGACTCCTGGGTTTTGATGTAAAAACACGGTAGGAACACATAAAGACGAGCCAAAATGACAGTCCCCACCTCCTGCACCCAAGCCTTGGGGTCACGCAAGTCATCACACTTATGTCCATCCCCAGATACCTGATGTGATCCAGAGCTGCCCTGCTCTGGAGCATTCCCTGCTCCCACAAACCAGGGAAGGACACAGCAGAGATGTCAGCTCACTGCCTCACAGGGGACCTGCCTGCACTGCCCAGCAAACCTTGCCACCGCAGAGCTCGGCCACAGCACGGCCATCTCCTACAGCCTGCAACTTCCCATCTCCAGCTGGCACAGCCACGTGCTGCCATGCTTCAGAGCTTCAACACTGCCTGATGGCACCCCTGGGCTCAGGCCCCGGGGGTTTTGGATCACTCAACCCAGCTGTGGGTCCTCCCAACACTTGCCTCTGGCACCAAACCAAAGTACATAGCAGAGCACATCAACAGACTTGAGAAGAGCCCAACAGTGACTTCCTCGGAATAGAGATTGCAACACGTCCTGCCATCCAAACCCAGAACCACTATCTCTAGTGGCAAACTGCTGCTCAGCTGTGAGTCCCTGGGCACAGTCAGGAAGGATGGAGGAGAGAAGAGATGGTCTCTGCTTCTTCTCAGAGGTGCCTTCCCCACGCATCAGTGCTGGGTAATCCAACCAAGCCAAAACTAGGGTTGCAGGGACACCCCACCCACTCCACCCAGCCAAAATGGATGGAGACCCAGGAAAATATCTAGCCACAGCCAGGAGTACTCACAATGCTCCCTCAGCTCCCTGGGAAGCACCAGAGCCCATGCTTGCAAAAAAGAAAACAAGGAGCTTGGATGCAGAACCGCAAAGCAGACCCTTCAGAGGACACTTTAACTGCGACGGTGACTGAAACGCCCAACTTGTCCACGGATAAAATGAACAACTGGAGGGATAATAAAGCCTCTTGACTCAGTTGGGATCCTTTCTTTAAGCAGAAGCCTGGGTTAGAAGGAGAGCATGCCTTGCACATCAACCTGACCTGCTGCTCCAGGCCTGTCCGTGCAGTCGGGAGAGTCGGTAGCACTGAGCAAACCTGTCCTCTTGGCTTATAAAGACACACAGAGCCACTGCGACTTGTCTGTCAACAGCTGAAAGCCCAGGCCTTCTCCAATCACACTGCCCGCTCTCCCTCTCCAGCCTAATGATTCAGACACATCCCAAACCCCAGGGAGCTCAGCAGCAAAATGCCACATCTTGAAGGTAGATAACAAGCTGTTGGGCAACATCCCCATCACCGGGAACACCCAGGCCTTGTGGCATCCTGCAATTGGGAGTTGCATTTTTGGCATACCTCTGCAGAGGGATTCCAACGAAGGGCAGTGTGCACTGGGGTTGCCAGACAGGTCACCAGCTGGTCACACTTGGCTTTCCTGGTGCAGGTACCCATTGGCGTTGCGTGCCAGCTCTGCATGCCACCAGCAGGCACAGGGATGACCATGCTGCCTAGAGAAGGTGACGCAACCATGCCAGGGTTGAAAGGGAAGAGGCAGAGCTCACCCGGGAAAGGAGAAAGAAATGCTCGGTTCACATGACACTGATGGCCTGTCTTTTATCAGCGTGGAGATCCCAGGAGTGGAAATCCAAAGGGTGAAAAGCTAAACTCACTTGAGCAGGTGTGACAATCAGCCCTCCGTGATGACTCGGTGTCCACAGGCCCCTTCAATCACATGTTTTCCAGCCCCATTACCTCTTCTCCTGCCAGAAGAACAATGGTGGTGAGAAGGAACCTCTGGGGTTTGCATCCCAGCCCCCCGATCACAGTGGGACTGTCACCAGCAGCCAGGGCTCTCTCTAGCCAAGGTGGACCCATGTGACTACAGAGCATCATCCAGGAAAAAACAGGGGGGAGGCAAAGAAGCATAACCAGCCTGGCATATGGGACAACCATCCCTGAGCCAGCAAATAATGCATTAACAGTTTCTGGTCTACACTGCGTTTCCCAGCTCCTGTGCCGTGCTCACTGAGAAGAAGAGGCTGGGCTCACACCCGGGTGTACTTCTCCCCTATCTCTCACAGTTGAGATATCAGACCTCTCTGCTTTTTTCCAGTTGGGAAAAACAGGACAGTCAGCATAGGAGCCGCACAAGGTCACAGCCCAGATCATCCCTTCCTTGAAACACCCTGTGGACCCTCAAGAGCTTGCTGAGAACCTGGAACACCTTTTCTGGTGGGACATGAGTATTGATGCACAAACCAAAGCAGAGTGGCACCTGCTGCCACATCAGGGCCGGTGGAGCCCTGGGACAACAGGCTCACAGTTCACACACCCCAATGTATTGCCTTTGACTATGGTCCCTGCATGTAAGAGAAATAAAAACATCTGAAGTATTGGCCATAAACATTGTTTTGGAAGTCATCCCAATGACTCTCTCCATGCCACAGCCCCACTCGTACCCTCCCTGGGTATTTACTGACAGCCACCTCTGAAGACTTGTCTGCCCTGGCCATGCCAATGTGCCCTTGGTTTTGAACTGCTTTTGGATGTGATTTTCATGGCAACAAAGACATTAAGTAAGGCAAGTTCCTCCCACCTGCAGGTTATGCAAGTCCCAGGAACCACAAGTCTGACAGGGGACTCCCAGTCGGTGCTTTGATCTGAAAAAGCAACAAATGTGTTTTGCCAGCATCAGGTCTCTGCAGGACAACCAGCAAGTCAGGCTCTTTGCAGGCGGCTTCAAGTCCAAAGTCTGTGATGGTCACCTGGGTTAGAGGAAAGCCCAGACCAGGACCGAACTGGGACACACTCATTTCACAGCACAATAATTCAGTATTCAAGTCAGGCTGTCTCCTTTCCAGGGCCAAACCAGCCTGTCTGGAGAAGATCCCTTTCACACCAGCTCCAGCTCTCTTCCTTGGATTCTGACTCATGAGCCTTAATGACAGAGTCTGTATTGGGAAATAGTTCAAGAACACCACTTTCTTTGGAAAGCAAATTGGTCTCATGCAGCAAGACACAAGATGATAGGTCTGTTGCCAATGGCTGCCTACATTTTGGTCTAAGGCGAGGTTGCCTGAGCAGCTTGCTCTTCCTGCAGCCACGTGCATGAGAGAGGAGGAGCTGCCCTGGCTGGAGAAGGTGTAGGTTTCTCATGCACACAGTGGCAGCATCCACTCTGTGGATGCTTATTTCTTCTTGACTTAGGGTGCCAGCACAAACGTCACCATCCTCCCTGAGAAATGGAGCCGCCCGTTCCCATGTGGTGGGAAGATCTCCATCTTACTCACTGATATGTTTGTTCAGTGCTACCGAAACAAGTAGGTTTTGATCTTGCAACAAATTGCTCTGAGGTGGTGACTGCAGGCCATAGAGATGTCCTGCCCTGGCTTCCATGGACCAAGCCTGTCCACAGCCCTGGAACGACAACGTCATCTCAGTTGAAGGAATGAGCGTCCGGGTGGGGAATCAGCCCAGCAGAAGACAGAATGGGTCACAAAGTGCTCATTTTGGGGTGGTATCACTAGTGAGAAGTGAGAAAATACCTCTGGCTCGGATGGACCCACGTTTATTGCGGTTTTGATCAACAGAATTATTGTTTATTTGTTTTCCCAAGTTTAAATGCTCACATGGAAGAGCAGGATGTGGCACTTTACAAGCACTTAATTTAATTACAGGGCCTTTGGGTGCCATTCTCCACACCCATCTGAGGTCCTGGAGGAAGCAGGCTGGTTCAGTAACTCAGTGCAAGGCTATAACTGCTCACATGGCGTTTCTTTGAGCACAAACATCAGGAGGCAAATTCAGGGCTCATGGTGCTGATAGCACAGTCCAAGCAACCCAAAAGTCGGCATTTATTTACCTGCAAACTTGTCACATAGCCTTTTTTCAAACTCTTTTACAGTGACTTGTGAAAACCAGAGCATGTATCGCTGGTACTTCTGGTTCATGGATGTTCAGCAGAAGTTTAGAGTTTTGAAAAATGCAGAGAGGACACAGTGCAGAACTAGTTTGGGGTTTTTCTGTGTCACCTGGGATATTGAAGAAACTGCAGTGAAACCCAAAGGAAGCACAAGAAATATGGAAGACTTGTAGGAACACTTCCATTGACTCAAGCACCTACAAACGTTTCTGCTGACAACCTTGCTGCTCACTGCACTCCTGCTTGGTCTGGATGGCCATGTTCGCAGCCTGTCCTGTTTTGAAAACAGCTACACGGAGGTGGCAAAATACCAGGCTAGGAATGCCCTGCCCTAATTGTCCTTTCAGGCAGCGTCAGGCATGGACCTGGCAAGGCAAACGTGGACATTCCTGCAAGAAAAGAGAGTGGGAACCATGCTGAGAAGTGCCATAGAACAAAGTAGCATTTAATCATCAATTTGACCAAGAAAAAGATCCAAGGCTCCTTTTACACCAGATGTTGTACCTTGAACGGAAAACCTCAACCACAGGTCCCCACGAGGAATGTAAACACAAGTAAAAGGTTAAGAAGTGGCAGGGAAAGCCACCAGCATGTGATTGCTAGAGCAAAAGCCATGCAAGATATTATTGGGTGCTAAAAAGGGGAATATTTCGCAAAAGCCTCCCATTTGGGGTAAGATGCTTTTGTACTCTAATGACTTCTACCTAGCCCTACAGCATTACCGGAATGGTATTTCCTGTATCAACACTCCTAAAGTGTTGTACTGGGAAAGCCCAACAGGATAAATTATCTCTTGTCCCGTGACCTGCAGAACAAGATCAACAGTTGGCAAAAGGTCCAGCACTACAGCCAGATTTTAGGGGGAAAGTAATTCTCAGCAGATATAAATAAGCACTGAAACAGGTGCCCAGAGCGTTGGTGGGATGTCCATCCCTGGAGACGCTCAAAACTGAACAGGTGCTCAGGAACTGAGCAGCCTGATCTAGTTGGAAATTCTCCCTGCTTTGAGACTTGTTAGAGAATAGAGACCTCCAAGGGTCTGTCCAACCAAAACTAGGTGCCTGCCTGAGGAAGACTAAAGAGCAGATGCTCATACACACACTGTTGGACCAGAGGACTGTTAGACAGATGAGAAAGTCCCCTGAGCAGAGTCTTCAGTGGAACAAACACCCACAGAGGAGTCTATCAGGGCCTTTGCAAGGTGGAGGACAGACAGGACTGCTTCGCTGAGCCACCCAGTTCCACAAAGAAGGGTCCTGTGTCACCTCAGGTGCCACAGAGGCTGTTGAAACTACAAAGGAGGGCACATGGGTACATTTGTCGCAGAAGTTAAGCAAGTATCAGTGTGCCCAAGTTCCACAAGCTTCTCCTGCTTAGCAGAAATGTCCATCTGTCCTCTAGACCGGCTGTTCCCTACCCAGACATCATCTTCACACGTGGCAGTCTCTTCCCTGGAGACCCTGTGAGGTTACAAGGCCTCCTGTAAGGCCCTAATTGTGCCTTTATGGTGTAAAGTATTTACTGCAAAGACTAAGTTTTGTCTCTTCCTTGCTCCATCAGTTGTAGACATTACTCTTACCAAATATGCAACATGACTAACACTGAGGGTGTCTGCGTAGGGCTCTGCGAACCCTCCGATGAGGGGTAGATGGCTGGTGGTTGTTTCGGTAGATTGAGAGTGGTGACTGTTCCTTACAGCTTCTCAAAACCTACAGGGCAGCCACACCTGCCCAGTAGCTGCATTCAGGTTTCTGTGCCTGCTGAGACCCACTTGCCATCACTGATGGCATCGCTCCTTGCCGGTCTCAGTCCAGCCGGGATCAGGGCGACGTGCCTAATAACAACAAACTCACTTCTGGTTTGAGAAGGGGGACCATTGCCAAGAGCCAATGCTACTAGCCTGTATGCAAGCCCCCAATTTATTAACCACTGTCTACATCTTCCATTTCTGTTTTTAGCATCCTACTGACCTCCAGATCTAGTCTGCTTACTGACCACTCGCTCATCACACGCTCCACAGGTGCTGTTCTGACCTGCAGCTCCTCGCACTTGCAACAGGGTGTTCCGCCCTCTTGCCTTATTTACCCACAACCATCCTTCTAGTCTGAGGGTCAGTTTACAATTTTGCTAACCACCAATTCTTCGTTCCCACGACTC